CAAAAGTGTACTGAGTACTTACCATGTGTCAAGTACTGTGCTAGTTACTGGACCCTAAAGGAAAAATTATACAAATGATATACATTAATTGAGTGATCACACAAATAATTATATAATGATAAATTATGAAAAATGCAATAAATAAAAATGTATAATATGACCAGGATTGTCAGGAAAATGTAGGAAAACTTGATAGATAGCTTAATGATCCTTTGCCCTATAGTTAATAAAAGTTTTCAACCTCTAAAATTTACTTCTTGCCTCTAAGTTGAGTCACTATAGGAACTTACAATTTTTTTAAAGATTTATTTATTTATTTTAGAGAGAGAGAGAGCATATGAGTGCACAAGCAGGGAGAGGGCAGAGGGAGAGAAACTCAACCAAACTCTGTGCTGAGCACAGAACCCAAGGTGGGGCTCGATCCCAGGACCCTGAGATCATGACCTGAGCTGAAATCAAGAGTCAGAGGCTCAACCAACTGAGCCACCCAAGTGCCCCAGAACTTGCAATTTTTATAATCAACTCTTTCCTTAAAATTCACCCAAAGACAATTATATGAGAAAAACATTTTCTTTCAATGTTATAGGTATTACAATCCGGATATCAGGACACCTGATCTGCATATATGACCCTTCTAAACTCCAAAAGGAGCCTTAGGAAAGTAACTTTGTCTCTGTGGGCCCCAACTGGTCATCTTGCAAAATGAACTCTTGTCCAGGTCATCTCAAGGACTACACCAATCTAAATTCTCTGATCTATAACTTAAGAGAAATACATAGAATAAGTCTGTGCCTGTCATATAGAGATTACCTGTCATATAGAAAATACAAGAATGTTGATGTTAAGTGAAAATACAGAAGTGGAACCCCTTAGTCGTTCATTAATATATCACTGTGTAGAACTACTACATGAGATGAAAACAGCAATTGCTTCCTGTTGTGAATATAGCAGTTGATTTTCCTGGTATATAGTTTCCCAGAGGCACATCTGTTCTTTAATGGAAGTTGGGATGACACATACTAAATAATGAATAGAAGCTAAATTAAATTGATTTATATATAAATAGTAGCCACCAAGATTTTCCTCTTCCTCCAGAATAATGTAATACTGGCTATACATACTTGTAGAAACATTCCATTTCCTCAAAACACAAAGAACATCTGTAACTACCTTTTTAATATCTTTCTTCTCCACTAGACAAGGTATCTTATTCACTGCTGCATTAATTTTCAGTGCATTAACAAACAACCAAACTTAAAGTATGAGAACAACAAATCTATTTCTTCTTCATGATTTTGTGTTGACTATAGCTTGACCCAACTGGACTCAGCTGGGCTTGGCTAAGCATAACTCCAGGTTGTTGAGTTTATGTCTGCTCCACATGTTTCTCATTCTGGAACCAAGACTGAAGAAACACTGACTTTATGCAGTACGGTTTTATAGCTAATGACAATAGTGCAAGAGGAAACAAACTCATGGTAGTACTTAAGCTACGGTCACACCGTGTCTTCTGCCTGCATTTCATTGGTCAAAGCAATCACATGGACAAGTGCAATATCGATGGAATGGGGAAGTATCTCTGCCCACATGATGGGGAGAGGAGGATGAATTAATGAAAAATAATAAAGTCCACAACAGCTGCCCTACACTCACCACATAGCACAGCTAGCTCATGGCCTATAGTGGATGTTTAATCTTTTTGAGGAATTCATAAAATTTGATATTATGTCATTCATCTTCCCAAAATTGTTCATATTCTCTCGTCTATCTTTGTAATACAAATGCATTTTTCACTTCATGTGATAATAGCACTTTATTTAAAACTTTAATTTTCCCCAGATTCAGCATGGCCCAGGGAACAGTTTGTCATCATATCCCTAGTTCCAAGTTCAGTGGCCTTCATATAGTAAATATTCAATATGTATTTTTTAGGTGAACAAAAAAATAAAGGGATGAATGAGTCCATGAGCCAAATGCTATATGTTTTTGTTTTTGTTTATGCTTGTTTTTGAGGAGATTTTTTTATTACACATTTACAAATAGTAAAGCTAAATTTGACATCTAGTAAGTGGTGAGTCCTAAGGTGTTCTAGCGTTACCTTCTACATAAATCAAGAAACTAAATACTCCCTTTTGTGAACTCTACTTAAATGTTGTGGTGTGTGACTTGAAATTAGTTTTGAAAGCCAAATATACCCTACTGAATTATACGGGCACCATGGAATTGGTCTCATAGACCAGTGATTTTTAACCCTCATACTTTAAGGATGATTATCATTATCTTAAATTTATTGTTCACTGTCTCATGGAGGTATCTTGTTTTGATATATTTGCCATTGCTTTTCAGTAAAAAAAAATTCTTTTCAAGTATCTATTATATCCAAACCTCTGATATACAAGATATATAAGAAACAGTTTCTTTTGTTCAGGATTTGCTATCTGTTTGAGTAGATATGCTATGTTTCAAAATAGCTGCAGTAATATCTGTGAGTACCAAATGAGTAAAACATAACCCCATAGGAATTTAAATAAAGGAGATAAGGCCCTATGAGAATGATTAGGAAAACCTTATGGAAGAAATAGAAGTAATTGAACCTAAGAAAATGAGTAGAATTTCCATAAGTGAATTAGAGATGAAGGGTATTTTAGGTAGAAAGAATGTAATAAATAAAAAAGCAAAAGGTATAATGCAACAACATTAAGGAAGTCAGAGTTAAAGCTGTGTAGGAAAATAACTAGAGATAAGGATGGAAAAATAAGTAAAGACCAGATAGTGAATGAAGACATAAAATGATGAACTAAGGATTACCAATTGCATTTTGTAAGCATTGTAGGCCCACTGCCATTTTTCACAAGGGAATGTATCACAGTGAGTATATTTTTAGGACTATTAATTTGGCAATAATATAGACAACGGATTTGGAGAGCAGTAGCACAGAGGCAATTTAGGAGAATATTTCCATCATTAAGATATGAGGTAATCACACCTAAATGAAGGTAGACGGCTATAGTGTAAGAAAGGACTAATTAGTAAGTACAAACTCAGATGTACTGGGACTAAAACAAAGAGCAGCATGGCATAGTTTCATTCATGGCCCTGGAATTCAGATCAGAGAACACTGGGGCCAAAGTACTGAAAGAATATCAAGTGGGGCTAAGACCTCAGTCTAAAAATGGAAACAAGGGAAAGGGCAAGGGCTGGTTATTCCTGAGATAGTCATGATTCCTAAAGTATGAACAAATCCAGGAGACTTGGCTCAGGATGTGAGCCTTATTCACCAGAGTTCGAATTGAATAGGGCATCTAGATTGTGGGTTTTAGAAAAGAGAAGCTGTATGTTCATTTAAAAAAAAAAAAAAACAGCTAATATTGGACAGAATGTATTAAGTGAATAAACTGACTAATGTTGACTCTTCTGGCCCAACCTAAAAGAAATTTTTCTCATTGGGAAGTATGAAAAATTCCAAATGGTGTTTGTAGAAGCAATGGGATGGTAATGTTCACTGTTGTCATGTAGTACAGGCTGAACAGAGACATGCACCTGAGCACCAGGAGTAGAAGCAGAAAGGACAAGATGATGGTGATTCACTTCAGGGAGGTGAGACTTACATGGTCCATATTGAAAATTTGTGAATTCTTATCAAGTGAAGAATAATTTGCATGGTCTTTGAGAACCAGCCACTTACTCTTCATCAAAGAAAGGCGTGTTCCATATCCTAAATCTTATTCAGATTATGCAATTTTGAATTTTCTAATTCTTGCTCTAGCAATTTTTTTCTGTAGTAAGATTTCTAACGTGAAATAGCAAACATACCAATGAGCCTACATACACAGAGAAGCAGAGAGAAGAATGCTAGGGTGGTATGGGGGATTGGAAAGAAGAAGAGGCGGAACTGGAAGAGGAAGAAGGAGGAGGAGGAGGAAGAAGAGGAAGAAGGTGAAGGAGAAAAAGAGAGGAGAGAGTTTTTGTATTAGGTCAAACTGAAATCACTAATCAAAGTATAATAAAAGCACAATTTGCAAATGTAAAGACCATATATCTAAGATATAGTTCCTTCTCAAAGTGACATTTTTAAAATATTTTCATTGCTTATGGATTATGATATCACCATGTAGAATATTATCAAGTGATGAATTTTTCATCTATGAATATATTCATTTGTATGATTCATAGCCCCAATATACAGAAGCCTGACTTATATGTCACTGAGGGGAGATTTTAGATGCAGCACTATGCCTTTGTTCCTTGAAAACTTGTCAGCAGATACTGAAAATAATCATGTATGCTCTACTGGCTTCTAGGTTCAAGGATACCAAAAACAAGATTTCTTCTTGTTTGCTAACTGAAATTTTTCAGTGTAGAAGATCTAATGACACAAGAGTTAGTGGCAAGATAAATCATTTATTATTAATTGATCACAGAACTACCAAAAAAGCAAAATGCAACAGCAGTAGGTTTCAAATATGTGGGCATCTACCAGATGTCTAATGCAAATGAAAGCAGTGCAGTACATCTGTGGTCACCATCAACACAGTCAATTGAATTTCTCACTCACCTCTCATTCTCCACACCTACCCAATCTCCGAAACACTTTTTACTTGTAATCATTTTTACCATTTGGGCTTTTTCTGTCAAGTTTCTTAATTCTATAAATCTCTTCCACTTTGATCTCTCTTTTGGTTTTTTGTTTTTCCAAACATGAGCAAGAGCGGTCATGCATAAGAAAGAAATTTAGGGAATGCACCAATTTCAAGACTGACTTGTTGCTTTCTTGCCTCTCTACCCCAACCTTAAAGCTCACCAGCAGCATTATCGCTTCATAAATAGGAGTCAACAGCAAAAACATACTGAGTATGATTGTAAATCAGTGGAGAAAAATCTAATAAATTCTGCCCAATTGAAACTGTCATCTCCTAAAGTAGTCATCTGAGTCAGAATCTCCTTTGGAATTTATTAAAAATACAGATTCTTTGGGATCTACTCCCACAGAGATTCTGATTCAGTAGGTCTGGTGAAAGGCCAGAAATGTACATTTTTAACATGCTGCCCAGGTGAACCAGATGTATGGCCTTACAGATTGCAATTATTATTCTAGAAATTGGAGGAATCAATACTTCTTGGTCCTAATTTGACTAACAGAGTAATTGACAGCAGAATTGATAGTGATGGAGACATAAGGAATAAAGGTCCAGGGTAATCATAAAACTCACAGTACTTCAGAGGACAACACAAGATCAAAATTGGACCTCACCCTTAGACATCAGGACTTCAGATTTCTGAAAAATAAGAGAAAAATAGATTGGATCATGGGAACTAAAAAAACACATTTCTTTCAAGTTGCTGCCATGTACACTAAAATATGATAGGTCCTACTCATTCCCATTTTCAGCCCATAACTGCATACTTTCCCAGTTCTTTCACTATTTTTACTATTTACTACTTTACCATCTCTTTCAAACTCAATTCCTTGGTCACCCTTACCTCCATGTCTATAAGCCTCTACTAGTTTCCCTGTCCTCCCTAAATTCCAGCCCCAGAGTCCTTCATTTCACCAAGCCTATTGCCAACACCTTCAAGTACATGTCACTGTTGCTCACACTACTTGTTTTATTAAATCCTTAAGCTAAGATGAACCAATCCTGGCATCTACTTCTCTGCCTCCCCCGATCACTAGTGAACAAAAACTACACAGTCATGTGTACTGATGCGATTACAATATAGGACTCTTCCCCTCCTCTGGTCTTTTAACCCCATAACAATCTTTTTGTATATATCTAGTCAGTTCTGACTCTATTTCTTCACAGTAGCTACACTAAATCTTCACCAATTTGCTTGATGACTCTATTAATTTTCTCAACACAAAAAATGAAGTCCATCACACATAAGCTACTTTAACTTTCCATTGCACTGCGCATAAATGTCCATGTCTGCATCTCTACCAAAGACTTATATCTGTATCCACAGCTGTGCTCATCCTTTCCCTATGCCCTCTTATCCCAGAAAAAATAAGTGCTTCTAAACAGAGCTAACAGACCTATCCCATCTTCTCCACAACTCTGTGTCATTAATTTTAGTAGAAGCAGAAAGGACAAGATGATGGTGATTCACTTCAGGGAGGTGAGACTTACATGGTCCATACTGAAAATTTGTGAATTCTTATCAAGTGAAGAATAATTTGCATGGTCTTTGAGAACCAGCCACTTACTCTTCATCAAAGAAAGGCGTGTTCCATATCCTAAATCTTATTCAGATTATGCAATTTTGAATTTTCTAATTCTTGCTCTAGCAATTTTTTTCTGTAGTAAGATTTCTAACGTGAATAGCAAACATACCAATGAGCTTACATACACAGAGAAGCAGAGAGAAGAATGCTAGGGTGGTATGGGGGATTGGAAAGAAGAAGAAGAGGCGGAACTGGAAGAGGAAGAAGGAGGAGGAGGAGGAAGAAGAGGAAGAAAATCTGTATCCACCTCTCTTTCTTTATTGTCCCTTCTTCATCATATTTTCATGACTCTCCCATATTTTAAAAATGCTCACCAAATTTGCATTCTCCCCTAAAACAACCCTTCCTCATTCCCTTACTTTTGTTGGAAACTCATAAAATGAGGATTTAAGCTCTATTTTTTATATCTTCCATTCATTCTTTAGCTCTCTACATTCCACCTTATTACTCCCATTACAACTCCCATCTTTTACTCAAGTTGATATTGCTAACATCAGCAATGACCTCGTCATTTACAAATTCAGGGAATCCTTCTCATTACCTATCCTACTTAACCCTAGTATTGACATGCTCTGCTCTTGTGCCCTCTTCCTTTGAGCTCTATGACAGCAGTCTCCCTGGTTTTCCTTTCATTTGGCTGCCCCTTCCCTAGAGTTGTGGGCATGGGCTTTAGAATCAGACTATTTCCACCACTTACCAACCATGTGACCACTCTGACCCTAGCTCCCTCCTCACGTATAAGGGAGATGCTAATAATATAAACTTCATAAGGTGGTTGTGAGAATTAAATGACAAAATATGTTATAAATGCTTCACAACACAATGTCTGATGAATAGTAATGTGGTGCAGTAACTGGTAGAGAGTGTGCTGTTAATCCACATGTTGTATAGTTGTTATTTTTACTATTATTATCGTAACTATTCCTTACATCAAAATTTTTCCAAATGAATCCTTTTTCATGTTTGTTAAAATATACATTTCTGGGCATCACCCCAAACCTAACAAATTGGAATCTTTGGAATAGATCCCAGTAATATGTATTTTAAGAATTTCCTTGGGTGACTTTTCTGCTCAATGAAGTTGTAGATCCACTGTCTTATCTCCTTCTGTTAGTGGGGACCTTGGTATCAGATGGACCTGAGATCAAGTTTAAGGATAAAGACTTGAGTAAATTGCTTCTTTCTTACCTTTAGTTTTCATGTCTATAAATGTAGCTTCATACCATCAACTACAAATGTTTGTTGAGAAAAGAAAATTTGATTGTGTATATAAATGGTCTAGCACACTATTCTTAATATAGACCACTCAACAGATATTTATAATACACCCCATTTTCATCTTCAGTCAAAGGTAAAAATAGTATGAATGTAACATAGAAAGCAAATCCTCTCCCACCCTGTGTACCTACCCCCAAGATGTATCTGTGTACATCTTCTCTAAAGATAGAGTTTAGTTGCCTTATTTACTGAGAAGTCCAGTAAGTATGACGGTAAATTAGAAGGCAATAAAGCAGGGAAAAACCATAAGTATGGCAGTAACTTAGAACCAATAGACTGGGAAAAAGGGAATGAAGTTAGAGTGTCAGGTATTACGAAATAAATTTAAAGTAAAGACTAGGTCATTTTGTCAGCTAGGTCCCACCTAACAGTGGATATTTTCATGTGTTGAAAATCTCCAGCACAATCAGCATTATGCTTGCTCATGTAGAAAATCCAAAGAGTTCCAGATTTGACCTCTCCCCCCAAGGACCTAATAACCAATTGGGTTAAAAGACTAAAACACATGAAAAATAAGATACAGATTTAAGCCATATTTTTTTATTAAATTAAACTATAATCAGCACTTACCATGTGTAAAGTCATACTATTTGCTAGAGGTGATTCAGTTGCTTAAATACCTTATAAACAAGTAGTCAATAATGATAATCTGTATAGATAATATAAGGTAACCCAGAAAGTGGTTAATATGGAAATAGCCCCTCTCAAGTTTCCATATTAGAATTTCTGTAGTATCACACTTTTAAATTCTCTCCCAGTTTCATTGGCCTGGGTTTGGGGGGAGGTCTTTGTAAGATCAAATACTAAATTAAATGTATTAATTTCTCCTTTCAGTTGTGAAAGAGAAGAAACATTGCCGAACTAAACATGGTGTGCTCCATGGGGAAATTGGGAACCAGATGTGACCTGAAATAAGGCTTGGATAGCTAAAAAGAAGACAGGACTGCACTCAGGCCAAGGAAACATCAGCAAAGGCATAGGGGTGAGAATGACTATGGCATGTCCGTGGAATACTAAGAAGGCCAGTAGGACTTGAGCAGCTACCTAAAGTCATGTTACATAGAGAGGATATGAGTAGACATGGGAGAGACTCAAAAGCCTGGCAAGGAATGTAGATTTGCTTCTATAAAATAGGATTTTTTTAAATGATGACAAAACAATGAATAATATTATTCTGTTAGTCATGTTCATTCATTCAACAACTAGCCACTGGCAGTTAACATAGTCAAAGCCAAATGCTAGGCATTGCAGGAAATAAAATTGAATGAGACATAGTACACTGCTCTCAATGCCACTGAAAAATTAGGACATAAGATAATGACAAAAATAATTATAATCACAGCAGAATATAAATGCTAGCAGATAGATCCATGATATTACTATGAAAGGAAGTAGGTAGCTTATGAATAGCAGTAACTCATGATATTTGAATGGGACCTTGAAGGATAAGGGTTATGCAGGTAAAGGTAAGAAGAGAGGACTTCTGGGAGGAAAATGGTACGAGCTGAGGCTGCCCATTTCAACAAGAATCACTTGCCCACTGTGTGTGAGGTCCTGGATTGATACTGGAATGTAAAGAAGTATCATAACCTCTGCTCTTAGTTGCAAAACAGGCAAGCAGAGCACTCATTCTCAGGAACATTTGGGGAGTTCTATTCGGGCAAAGCATATATACCTGAGGAAGTAATAGAATGAAGCTGGGAAGATAAATTGAACCAATATATTAATGAAAGCCTTAAATGCCAGATTATGGGTTCAATGGAAATCTGTTGCTATCATTTTTACCAGGGTAGGGAAATTATGAGAATTGTATTTTGGGCAGTCTAAGCTGGGAGGAATGTATGGAATAGATTTTAAAAGAAGAGACTTTAGAACTAGGAGGTTATTATTACATTAATAAAGTATGGAGTGATAATAGCCCAGGATAGCTGGTGACAGCAGAGTATACTGAGAACATGGTAATGCTCTAGCCATTTGCTAAGAGCTTACATGAATCGTCTCACTCAATCCTCCCAATATCCCTATGTTACAGGTACTGTTATTACTCCTTATTGACAGATGAGTAAACTGAGCACAAAGACATTAAGGAACATGCCCATGTTCCACAACGACTAAATGATAAAGCATAGGCAGTCTCCAGAAATTGTACTTATTAACCATTGGCTCTGGAGTCAGTAACAGATAGAAATTTTTGAACTTGCATGTCTAAGTAAAAAAAAAATAGCTCGATTAACAAATACAAGGAGGTTTAAATACTTGTTTCACTTAAAAACTTTACCAGCTAAAAAAAAGTTATATCATTCCTTTCCTAAATCACACTCACTGAAAGGTTTAGTGGTTTTCAAATTCAATAATAGAATTTTAATAGCAGAATGTATCTCAGAGAGTATTTACTCCAACCTCACAACTTTACAAGAGAGAGAATTGAGACCGAGATTAAGGGAATTGCCCAAAGTCAAAAAGCTAGCTAGGGATCGAAGTCAGATTAAAACCCATACCTCCTGTTTCTGGCCTACTATAATACAGTACCCTGATTTTATCATATATAAAAGGATAATATAACTCTTCTGTTATGGTTTTCATAGCAAATATATGGAAGATCCCAATACAGACTCATAAAGGGAGAGTGGTTTTTACTATAAATTCTAGAAATGTATATAGTTGATTGCATAACTACTCACTCAAAATCACAGTAGTAAGTGTATTAACAAGTAAGCCCATTTTCATTTTAACAGTCTTAACAGATAAATTTATTTGCAACAGTGGATTTTCAGGCAATGATGCCAAATGGGTCCATTTCTATATTATAACAAATCTTTAGTGAGCAAATAAATAAAAATCCATATACTATTTGTTATCTCACAACGATAATATGGATTTTTGTTTTGTTTTGTTTTTGCTTTGGCAGAGTGGGAAGGTGGAGGGAGCACCAGAAAGTATCCAAATTTGAAATGCATTGTTGTCTGGAGTGTACATCTTTCCAGAACTTTGACCTTTTTTTTTTTTTTTTTTTTGCTCATTACCAGGTGTTTCCCTTTGCAGAACCAGAGTAGAGCATTGATAGTAAAAGCATGGCCAGACCAATTTGCTCTCATTTATTTTGAGCCATTGCCAGACTCCGAGAAAAAGAACAAAAGGAAGCATATCCTTTTCATGTATTTTTAAATTGAATGATCTTCCATGAAATATCTTCATACTATTAAGTATGTTAGAGAATGTCCTACATTGACGTAGGACTAAAATACCTTTGAGAATTCTGTGGGTTCAGGGCTAATGGAATGTGCCAAGAGGGCTACCATGCAAGCAGAGAGACCACACTGGGAGGCTCAGAGAGTAATGGCGTAGGCTTCTCTGTCAGGAACAAGACAAGTCCAAATAATAACTGAAAATAGTCTGTCAGTTATTTCCCAATGGCCCTCCCTAGCCACAGGTTAGAAAAATAAAAATAAAAGGAGTTTGAAGTAAGAAGAAAATATAAACCAGGCAGGTTGTAAAGAAAAGCTTGATTCACTTCCAGTTCATTGGATGAGCAACTGATTAAAGATGAATGCATAAATACCAGAGAGTTCACATCCCTGGATAGAATAAGAAAGAAAGAGATGAGAGAAGCATACATCCAACTGGGGTGGAATGAAGGGGGCAAAAAATGAGAAAAGCAAATAAAATTTAAAAAGCAAAAGGAGAGGAGAAAGAAAACAAAAAAATTAAGCTGACAGGAAGGAACATATGAAATGCAGCTGTGATGCTCATTTGCTCTTCTTTTAAAATGTAAATTACTTGTGATTTTGAAGTCAAGGTCTTGATATTTTCCTGTGGAAATATAGCCACGTACACTTAAATAGTCTCTTCTACAAAAGAGAGAAAATTAGGAGAGATAATGTAGTTTTACTGCAAGGAATTTAAAAAATAGTCCTAAAAACCTCAAGGCATTTCAGTGTAAGTTGTCTGCAATAGACAACTGCTTTAAAAACCTCCAAATTTCCTAAGCCTGATGTAGGCACAAAGAGAGCCAGGGACTTGGTTGCCTGGCAACCGCGCTCTTCACAGGCAGCTGGAGTAAAAGGAACCGCCTGGTGCCAAGTGGCCTTTCACCTGCTTCGTTAAAGGGAAATCAAAGTGAAAGCGTTACTTCGCAGGGGCCAAAGCGCCCCTTGAGAACCAGAGGCTGGAGAAACCCTCCTCTAGCTTCATTTTGTTTGGCGAATCATTTGAAGGGGGTTTTCTAATGCCTCAGTAATCAGGAGTGCTTGCTGTCTCCTTGCCCCCTCCTCTAGGTACCACCCTGCATGTAACAGGCTGTGAGCTTGGTGTTCTGACGTTGTATACAAGGCAAAGCCTTCGTTTTAAACTTTTCGCTCCAAACTGATAGGTAAACTCTGAAAACCAGGAAAAACGCTTGTAACTCTTCGAGTGACCACCTTTTAGGAACATCTCCCCAGTTTTTCATTAGATTTGCTTCCTGATAATACTAGGACTAATAAAATTTATTCACGATGAAAAGAAACTTAGAAATAATTACAAAAGTATTTTGTGTTTACATAAACACCTGGTGACTGAATTTAGTTTAGGAATCTACTTGGCTGGCTATTTGAGTGGAAATGAGAAAAGTGCCTGGAGGTGATTTCGTATAAAGAGTACAGAGAGTTCCTCCCAAAAGAATTCATACAGCCCATTCCTAAAATGTATTTTTTTTTTAATTTATTTATTTGAGAGAGAGACAGAGCACAAGCAGGGGAAGGGGCAGAGGGAGAGGGAGAGAGAGAGACAAGCAGACTCCCTGCTGAGCGGGGAGCCCAATGCAGGGCTCCATCCCAGGACCCCGAGATCATGACCTGAGCTGAAGTCAGACGCTTTACTGACTGAGCCACCCAGGTGTCCCTAAAATATAAAGTATTCTAATACACAGCTTCGTCTGTGAAAATTTTAGAATTTGCTAGAAAATGCAGTTTTGTAATGGCAAAACTTACAGCTTAATGAGTTAATTCCCACTTCGTCCAGCTAAATGAATAACTCCCATTTAGTCCAGCTCTCTTACAGTCAACGGTAAAATGGGAGTGGAAATTGGACAACTAGTTGCATAGCAGTCAGAAACAAAGCACTGGAGAAAGCAGTGGATTCTGGTCCTCACCGCAGCCACTCGGCACCGCACTGGCATTCTAACTTGAGTAGCATAGACATAAGGAATGTACTTCGTTTGCATTTGGATTTTTTTCTCCAGGTGACTTCTGAATAAAAAACATAAAAGTATAATGTCAAACTTTTCAGGTTATTCAAAGTATATGTATTTGTTTTAGTTTTATTCACTACCAGTATGAAGTATAGTTACTTTTTATACTTTTTATAGCACTTATTCACTCTTATTTCTTTATTTTATTGTACTTTACTAAAATATGCTTTTTATGTTCAAAAATGTGTGTGTGTATATGTACCTATATATTCCGTAATCCACCTCCCTACTCCATCTCCAGAGTTGAGGAGGAAATGCATTTTTATTCTCCATATGACTCTCAAGGCAGTCTTCTGCGATTGTCAGTAGCTATAGAATCACCTAGAAGACTTTGGTCAATGAAGGTGAAGAGGTGTCAAGCAGCTAAAAAAAAAACAGAGAACAGCTTATAAGCACTCCCAATACCTCTCCCAGAGGTCAAATCAATTACTAAAGACTTGGGTGAAAGTAGAAAGGAGTGTAATTTTGCTCCAAGCTGAAGACACATCTGATCCAAAGTTTATGGCTTTCACCTTCTCAGGAGTGACTATAGGAATATTAACTGACATTATTCCTCATCTAATCTTATCTTAAAAAGTAAAAACTCCTAGAGAATGTATTATGTGAGAAAATATAGTATATTTGGGTGACCAGGGATTCTTAAGTAATTATTTAAGCAGAAGATTATTTTCTCTTCTAGGATGGCTAAAGTGTTTTTGTAATAATCAAATATTAAAACTTTTTAAAAATAGTCTTCATTTACACAGTTAAAATGGAAGATGATTTTGTTTTCCTTTATTTTAAAAACATAGCACCATAATTCCTTTGGGGAAAAGCAATTTAGGTTAGAAGGTAAGACCCTGAGGCCTTAGGTTAGCTCATAGGTTCTTAAACTTGCCTACATTAGTTGGGATCACCTGGGGAACTTTTTAAAAATGCTGATTCCCTCCCTACTCACACCCTCCTCCCCATCAGGGCTGTAATCTTCATTCCACATCTGACTCAATTCTATACGAAACAGCATCAATATGTGCCCAGGAACTTTTAAGTTAGCTTAGATTTAAAAGTTTAAAATGCGTCATTTTCTGGGAGATGGACTTTAGGAGATTAATTACACTATTGCAGAAAAAAATGAGCACAGTGTTTAATGTTATTTATGCCTAATTGCTTGTCTGACACCAGTGTCTTTCTAGTCATGTGCTCATGTAACCTTCCCTTCTAATGCTGAATCTTAATGTTAATGTCCTAAAAAAAAAAAAAAGGTGAAGAGGCAATTAATGCTAAAAAAAATTCTAAATTATATAGAAGTATAAGTAGTAAAGAAAATGTTAGCTCTTACTGTTAGCATCCATGCAGGCCACACTTTGGTAGTGGAAAAGCCATATCAACTATGCTGTAACCATACAACTCCAAGTATACACAGTTTACTTTATAGAAAATAACATAAGCTGAGCAATTTTTGCCATAAAACCATATACATATTCCCTTAAGGTGTAATATTATTTTCTGATAGAATTTTTAGGGTGTATGTAATATTATGCCATCCCATGAAAGAATGGTCAATGTTTTTAATAATTCTCTATCTCTAACATTATTGATGAAAAACAGTGATTTGTGTACAAGAATTAGGATATACCTTTTGTCATTTGCCACCACACACCATTTACAATAATCTATAAATTTCATCATTCTATACCTAAGAATAGAATAAATTCTACACCATTCTATGTTACATCTGTTCACCTGACTTACAGCTTCAAGTTGAGAAGTTGGTGCTATTGCTACCTAGTAATGAGAGATACACTGGATTTTCATTTACTGAAGTTCTGTTTTTGGCAACAAACTGTCCTTCTGACCTTTGTCCCTGAATCCTATAACTGTTAGGGTTCCTAGGTTCAAGAAAGAAAAAATCAATTCTGTCTAATTTAAGCAGAAATGGATGTTACTGGAAGGATGGAGGATATTAAGAATTGTTAGGAAAACTGGATATCAGGCTCCCGAATCAGGCAGAAACCAAGCAGACAGGCAGAAGAGCATCAGGCAAGGTCATTCTGCAAAACCAGTCTGGTCAGAAAGCCACCACTAGCTCCACTGCCCTAACAACTGTCCACTGCTGCTGTCACTGGGAATTACTGGAGAAACCACTGGATACCATTGTAGTCACTCCTGTGCATTGCAACTGCCACTATATTCTAAACTGTCCCTCCATCTTCATATTGACTACTTTGGAGTCAATGTCCCCAGCAGAAGCATTCAATCTGCTGAGCTAATATCACCTACTCATATGCCTTAAAGGCCAGGGGTAGAGGGAAGGAAACTTTGTCCTCCTTTGGCTTCTATAATGGGAGCTGGGGCTCTGGATCCAACCAAGATTTTAGGAATTGAATATTTCTTAAAATACAAAAGGGGGTTGGAAGATGGACAGCCAAAAAAGGAGGAAGCATCTTTGTACCATATTTCCCAAGGACTACACATGTGAACAGAATCATAATTCTATCATAATGGAGGTTGACATAGAGGGGAGCATCCATTCCATGATAATAAATTTGTAGAATCAATTTCAAATATGAAGAACAGACAAAATTACCATTAGTTAATTTTGGATGACTGACTCTGGGATTAGGTACAAGTTTTGTGTTACTATTTTGATAACTGTGGCCAACATAGGTCATGAAAGCAAATACCAGGAGCCTTAGACACAAGCAATAAACACAGTTACCAACATGGTATGGGTACCATTTAATGGGTAAAAGATTTGGTGGCTGAAAATTGGACAGTATTTCTGATGAATAGTGTTAACTACACAACATATCAATATTTGTGTGATGCAAGTAAAGCAGTGGTTAGATGAAATTTTGTAGTTTAAAGTGATTATATTATAAAATAAGTAAGATTTGAAATCATATCTTTAAGAGTCCATGTTAGGAATCCAGCAAAATATGAGCAAATGAAAACAAAAGCAAGTAGAACAAAGAAAATAAAGAAGATAAGAGAAGACTATAAAATAGAAAAATCATTAATTAAAAAAACTACAAGTTGGTTCCCTGAAAATATCCATCAATGTAATTCATCTTTTTAACAGAACATAAAATAAGACAAAACCATCTCAATAGCTGCAGAAAGTATTTTACAAAAGTCAATACTTATTCATGATTTTTTCAAAATCATTCAGAATATTAGTGATATTAATAAATGGAACTAACAAATAACAAAGGAAATACATAATAAGCATTTGAAAAAGTGCTTCACATCATAAGTTACTGAGAAAATTCAAGTTAAAATCACAATGAGAAGGGTGCCTAGGTGGCTCAGTCGTTAAGCGTCTGCCTTCGGCTCAGGTCATGATCCCAGGGTCCTGGGATCGAGCCCCGCATCGGGCTCCCTGCTTGGCAGGGAGCCTGCTTCTCCCTCTCCCACTCCCCCTGCTTGTGTTCCCTCTCTCACTGTGTCTCTCTCTGTCGAATAAATAAATAAAATCTTTAAAAAAACACACACACAATGAGATAGCACTACGCGTTCATTGGAATAACCAAAATTTAAAAGACTGAACATATTAAATATTGACAAGGATATAGAGAAACTGGAACTCTCATACACTGTGGTGAGAATGCAAAAAGATGGCATCACTGCAGAAAAGAGTTTGGCAGTTTCATGTCAAATGAAACACATCCTTACCACATGACCCGGCAATCCCATTCCTATGTATCTACTGGGAGAAATGAAAACATATATCCACACAAAGACATGTACTTAATGTTCATAGCAGCTTTATTCATAATAGTCTAGCACTGGGAACAACTCAATTGTCCATCAATAAAAGAAGGGATACACTGGTATTTTATACAAAGGTACACTACTGAGCAATAAAAGGTATGAGTTACTGATACGTGAAACAACATGTGAATCTCAAAAACATTTTACTTAACAAAAGAGCCAGGCAAAAAAGAGTTTTTAAAAAGGCGAAAACAAATCCAAGGTGAAGAAATCAGAAGAGTGGTTTCCTTGGAATTTGAGAGGGTTCATTAACCAGGAAGAGGAATTCGAGAACTTTTTTGTAAAGAATATGTTCTAGATCTTGTTATGGGTACAGCTCATGGGTATATTATTTTTTCAGACCTCGTTGAATTGTGTCTTTATGATTTTATATTTCAATTTATATGGATTTTACCTCAAAAAGAAAACTTAGCAAATATTAAACTCTAATTAGTAGGTTTGCTTTGCAGCTTATCAATTCTGAAATGCTCTTCTGTGTACTCTAGGCTTCAGCAAGCGAATAAATATATTGAACATAACTGGAAGAAGTTTTCTCACTTACACACACACACACATACATGTATGTTTTCTATCCACTGAGAAGGCATAGGAGCAAAGACACCAATACCAATGGCATGCCTACTTTCCAGGTCTTAGTTCCTAAATTTATTCTCCACTAAATGGAACCAGGATTCCCAGGAGAAAGAGATGATACCAGTGCTAAGACATGCAAAGTAAAAGATAAGTCTGGAACATCATGTTGTGACAGAAAGTGAGGAAGTAAAGAATAAGGGAACATATCAAATGAACACGGGAGTCAGCTCAAAAAGACTCATACTGGCCGAATCTGGGGCAATTTGACCACCAAAATAAATACTGATAGTAACAGATTATAACCTAGTGAGTAAAATAAGAATCCATGACTCCATACTGACATAAATACATAAATGAATAAAAAAAATAAATGCAAAAAAAGGAAATGCACTTTTTATGGTAGAATGCAGACCAATAAATGAAGAAAGGGGGATGGAGTTAGAAAACCATGAGCCGACATCCAATCTAGTAGATAAAAGTTTGATGAACAGGCTATTTACATAGTCTCTCCACAAGCTACCTATTAATTAGGAAGGGAAAATAGTGAATTTACCATGGAGGAACCTGGTAGACATCACTTTACTCAAGTGATCAGAGCTAATATCACTAATATTAATGTGGTCTGGATCATGTGCTCTGATATGATTCAGTGAGAAGGCTAAAATAACACCT